TGATTTTTCCCATGGATATTCTTCTCCCCTGGTGCTAGGGAGGAGTGGACCGACGTGACAAGCCCAAGCCGTGGTGTGGATTGGGCTCGGAGCGGTTGTGGTGTGCTTTGGGATCTGCCTGTTGTCCTCCAGCTGAGGATTGGGGTCGATTGCCGAGGCACGGGATTGGGGTTCGGATTTCAGATTCAATTAGGCGTGTGTTGTAGTTTCTGGGTTTGTAATCCAGGTCATGGTTTGGTCCGATTTGGTGGTCGTCCATTGGTGTCGCCGTTGTGGTCTGCTTTGTGCGTTGTCCAGCCGTGGGAAGGGCTTTAGTCTAGTATTTTGTGTTTGGTGATTTGTGTCGTTTGGTGTTTGTGTATTTTTCTATGTTTCTCTGTTTTTTTTTTTTTATGTTTTATAATCACTATAAGATCTAGATTCTACTGTTGGGAGTTAGTATTAGTATTATTATCGTGGGTGTGTTGTGGTGTTTAGGCTCATTCTTGGATGTCTTCTAAGTAGATTCGGCTTTTTGCAGTCTTCTAGTTAAAAATATGTGTTCTAGTTATAAAATTCTTATATTTCCAAAATGATAAAAAAAATCAAATTAAATTAGATACGACAAAAATATTCTTCCATTGATTACTTTTATGAACACCTGCAATAATTTAATTGATAATCATTAAAATAAACTACAAATTGTTTTTCCACAGATCATGTTGATAATATTTTGGTCAACATAAATATTGAAAACAAATTTTAAGTTCTAACCATATTATTAATTAGTTTAAAAAATATGGACTTTTCATCCTAAAATATTTGTATAAGAATCGTAACACGTTAGGTAAATTTTTTCTTCCAATTAATCAGGCGAAATCAAGTTGATAATTTAGTTATTGACAATTATTACTAAAACTTTATTTCATTGTATACAAAAATAATTGTTCAAATTAATATAAATTATCATTTAAGAAATAATGATAAGATACTTCTTTAGTATTTCGTTGGGGAAGGGCCTTTTTCGTTAGTAATATAGGTTATCTTGTTCATGTTTTGTGTTTATTTCTATATTTCTGTTTTAGGTTTGGGCCATTGGCCTTGGTTTACCCGAGTGTGACCTTATTATCTTGTTGGGATCTCACACTCGGGCATTACCCTGTTGGGGTCTTTGTGTTGTGTTGTTTGTGTTTTTTCTTGTGTTGTAATTACCCCTTTGGGGTCGTGGTCGAGTAGTTGGTCAGTTTAGTTTGAGTTTTATTATAGCGTTGCTAGCGGGATTCTAGGCGGTCTTCTGGCCTGTCCTCTCATTTAATCTCCCGTTGGGAGCTTTGTATTTTTATTCGCACATTTGTGCGCTTTTGATTTATAATAGTACCTCTATCGTTTCGGGAAAAATAAATAGATAAGATACATTCTTTTTCTCCCGACAGATCATAAAATTAAAATATGTTAACTCTCTTTAAAATTTCAATATGTGATTTATTTGTATATTACTGTCAGTCATGATTTTTTTTAACATTTTTTCTTTTGATTTCTTTCCATAATAAAATTTTTGTAAAAAAATATTATTATTGCATAGTGTGCTAAATAAAGTGTTAAGATGCAAATTATAAAATATTTGTTGATTATAGAAGAGATTTAATTTTGAGAATTTCTAAATCAGAGTTGTATAATTATTATGGAAATTTTTAGTTCTAATGCATAATGGCCAAAAAAAATTAGGACGACTCTTGGATTAATTAACAAAAACTAGTACGTACCCCGTGCGATGCACGGGCTGTATTTATTTTGGTAAAATTTATAATTGAAGGCTATTAATCAATAAGTTATAATACATAAAACATTTGTTAGGTAATCGTAAAATGATCATCATGAAAAAATTATACATTATTAAAAAGCTCTTTGTTTTTCCATGCAAAATTATTTTCACTTGGTAACCGTAAATCGACATTTACGAAGATTGTTCTCCACTTGGTAATTGTGAATTGCATAGACATCTCATTCATTAATTTTTTTTGTTGATTTTCGGAACGTTACCACCATGAAATAAAACTATGTAATATTGTGATAGATACTAAAGATATGATTATCTGGTGAAGTTTAATTTTATATCGAGTATAAGGAAAATTGTTACCTTAAAGTTAAACTGTGAATTTTGAGTATATCTTTTTTTTTTTGTCAATCATTCTCATTTTTTATACCAAATTCATTCAAAAATTGAGAACGATTTTGTTTGTTATGTTTTAACAGATATTTGGAATTTTGGTTGTATATTTTGTGAAACAAATTTATAAAAATAATTACATTAAAAAAAAACAACAACGATATTTTATCATTTTTAGATCAAAAACTAAATGAATCGGAGGACATGTAAGTAACGGTTTTTAAATGAAAAATATGTTTCATAAATAAAGTGATAACAAAATGATTCAAAATGATAAAAAGGAAATCGTATATTATAACATAAAGATGTTTACATGAGTAGTGAATTAGCGAATCGAAAATTGTGGCAATTTTAAAAAACATGTTACCATGATTGAAATGAAATCTTTAGAATATGTTTTACTTTTAGTTAAGTTGCATATATTGAATAACTATATATGAGAAAAAATAAAATATTTAAAATTCAAATAGGGGATTTATTTATATATATATAATAAAGTGTACAGTCCAAATAATTAAATTTTATTTAACATTTATATTGTTAATATTGATACCGTGATTATTGTAAAGTCCAACTCTCATTTTTACGGTAAATTTATATTATATTAAAATGAATTGATAAGTCTACAAAGAGATATGGATTGAGTTAAAAAGATTGAATCGTGGTTAAATATCTTGATATCATAATTATACTGTTTTTAAGAAGATATTCCATAACATTTGGTTCTACTGCTTTTAAATATAATTGATTCCAAATAGCCGGATTTAGTGTTTAATCAAATAATATGGAATATTTTTTAAAAATATCTACTTATTAATTTATTTTTTGTTTCTTATTTATATTTTAATTTTATTTTTGCCAATTGACAATATTATTTTTGATCACATTGTGCACGGAAATAACTTTTTAGATACAAAGTTGTGAACTTAACAAATATCTTATGTGGTTCACAATCCATATAAACAATTGACATTTGTCAAAATTTATGTGATAACAACATTTATGCATTGTAAATGCTCTTATTTGTTTTAAATAATTTCAAATATACTTATATACATTCCAAATAAAATTCATACTATTTAAATTCGAACATTTCATACCAAAAATAAATCATCTACTTTATACCACAAAATCGGACATTTATTATTAACAACACTTTTCTATGAAAAAAATAAAAATGACTATCAGATACTTAAAATAAAATCATCAACTTTATACCAAAATTGGATTTATTAATTTTGTTAACTTTATACCATAAATTAATTAAGTATTTTCTAAAAGTTATTTCTACATTTTGCCCAAAATATTTTTTAGCGGCACATAAATGTTATTTATGTTTTTGTATTTGGTTATCTTGTCTACGAAGAAAAAGATAATCTTACAACTTTACTATGTCAACAAAAAGATGTATGAAAAATAACATAAGTATTAATTTATTATGTTTTACTCAATATAGGAAATATAGTATAAATATAAAGATTAACGATTAATTCTCTATAATTGCTCAATCAAGTCTATATATTTAAACTAAGGATTTCAAAAGTATCTATAATACCCCCATATGTTTCCATAAAACTAAACATCCTAAATTTAAATTCAACTAATAAAGATAATAACCATAAATATTTGACTGAAAAGATTATGTACATTAATTACATTGATTTTTGTTAATTTACTATTTTTAGACAATGGTTAATGAAATTGGCGGGAAAATATTTCTAAAAGTGAATTATGTTAATCCTTATTATATATTAATAGATAAACATACATTGTGCTTTTTAGGTTTGATTGTTTTTT